TGGTCAAGGACTTCCCGAGGAAACCTCCGAACACCAAATTCAAGGTCTTACGCACGTCAGGCACTCTTTAAAAGTAAAGGAACTGGCTCCAGTCTGTGTGAGTGAAAGATTAGTTAATCTACTTGAAGTAAATGAAAGCCAAAAGATAAAAATCTCTTAAAATAAATGCAGATTGGTGATTAGCACAGCTGGAGTCTCCCAAACATCATCCCACTAGTATTACTCTAATGTCACTCCAGAGTTACTCTATGGAAAACAAAACACTGATTTACAGGGAGATAAAATCCTACAAAAGAGAAGTAGCTGAACATAAGGCCCTTGTTACTCTGAGTCAAGCCATTTAACCCATTACGTCTTGTGCTCACACAGCCAGCAGGAGAGGAAGGGCCTGAGAAGCAACATGATACAAGAGACAGTGGAAGGCCAAAGCCCTCTCCCAAGAGGCCACTTCCGAGGGGTCATGGAAGCTTCAGGAAGGGAGATATATTGCTGAGTCAAACTGTGAGTGATCAAATTGTACTGTAGTTAGCAATTTCTTCTTTTATTTCAAAAAAAAAAAAAGTTTGTTTTTTGATTCTAAGAATGTTGTCAAAAAATTTAGAAACAAAGAATGCTTAAAAAGAGGAAACATTATCTTTTGCTTCTGCTGCTGTAGCACAAGCCTTTATGAACATTCTTGAAGCACAGATCCTGCGCTTTGCTGCTGGCCCTACCCTTGTTCACCCCCTTGTGGCCAGGAGCCAGGCAGCAGGAAGGAAGGAGTAAAGGAGCCTCAGGAATCAACTGACCATTTCTCGTTTCATCTTTGTAGTCATTAAGTAGGTCTGCCTGAATCCATGTGGGCAGGGAGCATCTTGGTAAAAACAGATGAAATCCTTGAAATGGGGTGACTATAAACTATTCCCTTCTTAAATTTCGTTTGGAATACGGGCTGTGTTAACAAATGGATCAACTCCTGCAGCCAAGTGTTGGCAGTGAATATCTGGGTAAATGGAGACTCTAAGGTGGACTATGTCAACCAGTGGATTCTGGAAAGATTTCATCCTGCTTGAAGTGGCGGGAACAGCAGTAATTCAGAAGAGTTGAACTACTGAAACTTCTTGAGCAGGACTCTCAGAGCAAACCCCACATTGGGGACCCTGAGGTGGTGCCGGGTGGCTGTCCTCCATCCCAGGGTGCAGAGGTGTTTGGGAGGCTGGGTGTGGCTTCTCTGCTTCCCTCTCCCCCCCAGATACAGGAAGGAAAAAAGAGAATGTGAAGACAGTGCTCTCACCCATCTTCCTGTAGCCCTTGACCTTTATCACCTTAATCAACTATGTAAAAATCATTTAAAAAGAGATAAAATGAAAAAAAGCAGGGGCTCCGTTAAGAGAAACCTAAAAGGGGTGTCTTGGTGTCTCCCATTGAGCCCAGCTGGAAGCCAGAAGATGGGGACACTGAACTTCTGCAACCTTCTCAGATCCATTCTTCCAGGACAGAAAGCTTAGTTGGTCAGAGCAAAGCCAGCAAAAAATCTTTCTAAAATATTTCAGTATAATTTCTTTTTAAAGGCTTCAGTCCTAGAGCTACATTTCTGAATAATCCTGATATCATTTGGAGTTGAATAGCTATGCATTCCTGTGTCCTACATGAAAGGAGACAACAGAATTTCACCCTAGTCTGAAAGTGGCACACGTGTTTTTCTCCTGTACCTATTGCCTGCAGAAGTGTAACGCTGGCATTGGAGGGGTTCAAAACCCTGGATAGTTTGGTATGCGTGACGGTAAGGTAAGGAAAGAGAGGAAGTCATATGTGCAGACACACAGAGTTCAGCTACTGCTTGTTATTCGTCCTCTTCCACCCCCTGTCCTACTGGAAAAGGACACTTTCCAGCCCCTACCTGGAGTGTTGAGACCAACTGTCTTGGGTCAGCCCAAATATGGGTCTACTTGGCCAGCAAAGAAGGATTACAAAAGGAAAAAATCAGAGCACTTGGTTATAAAGCTATTGTCGTTTCGATACATTTTAACTTTTATACAGCAAAATTAAACTCTAATGGTTAGTTTAGATAGCTATAAGTGGAGTGGTGGGGAAGGAATAACACAGTGTAATCTTTTTTTTTAAGATTTATTTATTTATTGGAAAGTCAGATATACAGAGAGGAGAGACAGAGAAGAAGATCTTCCATCCAATGATTCACTCCCTAAGTGAGCGCAATGGCCGATGCTATGCCGATCCAAAGCCAGGATCCAACGTAACAGGGACCTGTTCCAGGGTTAAACCCAACATACCCTGAGGTAAGAACAGAATGAGCAGATGTTTTCCACCCATTAGCTTGCCTCAGAAATCCAACAGAGTGAAAGTTGGCACTCGTGTTGGATGATAAATATCAACATTACAAAGGCACATGCTTCTCACTAATCATTCTGTTAACAAGAAGTGTACCAGTTTTTTAACCAGTACCAATTATGCTACCTAAAGCAGTTCTCCTTATCCGTGGTTTTTATTTACAGTTTGTTGGCCGCAATCAATTGTGGTCTCAAAATATTAACTGGAAAATCCCAGAAGTAAACAATTAATAAATTTCAGTTTTGAAAACATTTTTTTTTCCTGTTGTTGATTTTGTTTCATGACTTTTCATTTAAGGGGATGTACAGTAACTGTGTAACAGAGCCTCACGTCCAGATGTGAAGGCACCATACAGCATACATCTCTACTTCTAAATTAAGTTGGACTCCCAATTAAACTCTTAAATACATCTTGACAACAGGATGCTGGACTCTGCTACTGTCCATGCCCATAATGTCAGTATGTATTTAAATAGCAGAATGATGCTTATAAAGAACTATACTACTGTGTAAAATGAAGGAAATAAATTGGAGGCGGGAGAGGAGATTTGGAGAGGATGGAAGGGAAATCCCAGAACCTATGGAACTGTATCATAAAATAATAAATTAACTTAAAAAAAACACACACACATTGCTTCACACACACACACAGTTTCTTCTATCCCATGTTTATTCTGAAAATCTCTATAATGGTGGTGCTGAGCCAGGCCATTACTAGGAGCCAGGACCTTAACCCAAGTTCCTCATGTGAGGGCAGGAAGCACCCACCTAATCTACCATCTGAGTTTGCATGACTGGGAAGCTGGAATCTGGACCCAAATATTCCAATATAGTATGTGGGTGTCCCATGTGGCACCTTAACCACTAAGCCAAACGCCCACCCTAAGCCATACATTTTAAACGTCATACTGTTCTGAGCTGTGTGACTGAAACCTCTAGCTGACTCACTCCACCTTGCTCAAGATGTGTGAATCTCCCCTAGGCCAGTGTGTTTGCACTTATACATGTTATCTACCCATTAGTTGTGCAATCTTGTTATCTAATCAGATGTTGTGGTATCACAGTGTTCCTGTTCAAGTAATCCCATACGGGCACCAGTTCATGTCCCAGTAGCCCTGCTTCCAATCCAGCTCCCTGGTAATATGACTGGAAAGCAGTGGAAGATGGTCCAAGAGCTTAGGTCCCTTCCTTGTCTAACTCAGCCTTTCAAATTAAAAAAAAAAAAATCCCTTTCAAAAACCCTAAAAAACTGTATATACTGAGCATTTAAAAAATCATTATCCCGGGCCTAGCGGCTAAAGTTCTTGCCTTGAACGCCCCGGGATCCCATATGGACGCCGGTTCTAATCCCAGTAGCTCCACTTCCCATCCAGCTCCCTGCTTGTGGCCTGGGAAAGCAGTGGAGGACGGCCCAAAGCTTTGGGACCCTGCACTTGTGTGGAAGATCCGGAAGAGGTTCCTGGTTCCTGGCTTCAGATCAGCACAGCACCGGCCGTTGTGGTCTCTTAGGGAGTGAATCATTAGACGGAAGATCTTCCTCTCTGTCTCTCCTCCTCTATGTATATCTGACTTTGTAATAAAAATCATTATCCCCAAAGTAACAGAGTGTAACAACTACTTATATAGCATTTATTTACACTGTGTTTAGTACTAAAAGTAATTAGAGATGATTTAAAGCCACTATACAGTATGGTGTAAAAAGAATCCACCCTGCATCTGATCCTGTGCCTGCGCGGTGGCACGCAGATCTTCGTGAAGACCATCACCCAGGAGGTCGAGCCCAGCGACACCATCGAGAATGTCAAGGTGAAGGTCCAGGATAAGCAAGGCATTCTTCCTGACCAGCAGAGGTTGATCTTCACAGGCAAGCAGCTGGAAGACGACCGTACCCTGTCTGTCTACAACATCCAGAAAGGGTCCACCCTGTGCCTGGTCCTCGTTTTAGGGGTGGTTATTAATTCATCAGGCTTACTAATCCGATTGCCCAGTAATGGCATCACTCCATGATAGCATCTGCCCACCCCAATTTAAGTTTAGAAGTTACCAGCTTCAATAATAGCTAAATCTGTTCAAAATACTAATAAAGGTTTTGTTGCATGGTTAAAAAAAGAGAGAGAGAGAGACTGTTTGGAATACCAACATCTTGTAACGCAGCAGTGCCTGGGTTCAAGTGCTGGCTCCAATCCCAGCTTCCTGCTAACGGGCGCCGTGGCAGGTGACGGCTCAGTCCAGCGCCCGGGTCGCTGTCGTCCAACGCTTTCCACCCAAGTTAACCCTAAGCATTTTCCCAGCTCTTCTGCACACAAGCACTACCTCGCCTCGCAAACGCACACGCCCGAGCGGGAGAATTTACATCCATCCCTTCTGTCTTGGGAAACCTCGAGAAGTTCCTTTCGCCGTTTGCCCCGCGCCAAAGGAGGCGCACTACTTAACATCCTCGCGCCTGTCTCGGTCTCATCACCCTTTACCCTTGTAAGCTGTGACGTCCGCTACGACGCAACATTGCTTTCCTCCGCACCACACACACCTTCTCCACACCGCCTCCAGCCCACACTTCCGCCAGTCCCGCACCCTGCTTCCGCCGCCTTCACCTCGCCAGTCGATTGGCCGAGACGTCCTCCCTGTGATTGGAACCGGCAGCCGTCTCCTGAGTCGGACGCGCGGTGATGACGACACGGGCCGGCGGCGGCGTCTGGGAGACCCGGAGGGCTGCCGGCCTTCGCTGCTAGGTGCTGCCGTCATGGCGGTGTCTCTGTGGGGCTTCCTTTCCGTCGTGTTGCTTCTCTCAGGAACTGCCCAAAACTCAGAGTTGCCTGGGGCTTCTGCCGAGGGAGCGGGAGGCAGTGGGGTCGGAGATCGTTTCAAGATCGAGGGGCGCGCCGTCGTCCCCGGGGTGAAGCCTCAGGACTGGATCTCGGCCGCCCGAGTGCTTGTAGACGGAGAAGAGCACGTCGGCTTCCTGAAGTGAGCGTCCCGAGGGCGGCGGGCAGGCTGGAGGGCGGTCCCCCCGGAGAGCCGAGGGCAGGGCAGGTGCTCTAACGGTCCGTGTGGGGAGACCCGGGGAGGCAGGAGGGCCTTCTCACTTCCTCGGCCCCGCACCCAGAGGTGAGGGCTGACAGGCGTGACCCCAGCCCCGGTGCTCGTGGGCTCAGGCACCTCGTGCCCATGACTGCTCTCGGACCCCGGGGACGAGTGGACCCCGTGTTTCTCTTGCTTTTGCCTCTCGGGTGGCTTTCCTACAACCCTGTCGCCTTTTGCACTCGTTGCCGTGTGTTGCAGATCGATGTTGCGTGGAAAGATGCTAAACAAGTGGGAATACCCAAAGCCCAGAGGACTTGTGGTGATGAGACACGGAGAGCCTAATGTCACTGCTTCTGAATTTAATGAGCCTTGCAGTCCCTGATCGCAGCACCTTTTTGGCTTCGGGTGGGACTGTTGTTCTTTTCGACACTGGAGGGCATCAGGGGATTTGCAGTTTCGCAGTTGTCATTGACATAAGACTAGGATTTCGTCCTCGCTTCAGTCTTTTCTAGCTTTTCCTGGAAATGGAATTTCTGTTGCCATTAAAAGGCAGGGTGAATTTGTTAGCACTCTAGTTTATAAGTAGCCTGCTTTTCAAATGTCCAGGCAAAGTGTGATTTAAATCTTTCCATCACTACTTAGAGAATGGATTTGGAAACGGAAAGAAAGTGTTCAGTGAAGGAGGATGGTTCATCTGCAAGTGGTTTTTGAAAACCAGACAGGTGTGCATGTGCTAAACCCGATTCGCAGATTTGTTCAGACCATCCGTGGGCTCTGAATGAGAGTGCCAACCTCAGATTAATAACAAGTTTTCACCCAGTGTTTTCATGCTGTCATTAGTAACCTGACAGTGTGTTCCTTAGGGCTTAGTGTGATTAGCGGTGCTTTCATGATGCGGGTGTGAGGGATCCTTACAGAACTGTCATGAGTTAACCACTTGGCTTCTCTAACACAGAATGCAGGTATTTTGAAAATCAGCAGAAAGAGAGAAAGGGAGGGAGGAAAGAAGGAGGGGAGGAGGGAAAGAAACGACAACAACGAAAAAAACATTTACCGTTTTCACATAAGAAAGCATGTGTTGGGGCCAGTAACCCACGTCAGAGTGCTGAGCCTTGCCTGCACTCAGGATCAGGCCTTCTGATGTGCCTGGAAAGCGGGGGCCATCCCTCAAGGAGACGTACCCCTCTTTCCCATGGGAGAGACTCGGACCAGGCTCTGGGCTCCTGGCTGTTGTGGATATCAGATAGTGAGCCAGCAGATGGCAGGCCTCTTCATCTCCCCCCTTCCTTCCTGTTGCTCTACCTATCAAATAATAAAAGTCAAATTTTTAAAAAGTAATATATTAATGTTTATTGAAGAAAGTATTAGTAAATAGAGATAACAACCCTTAACATTTTATTGTTTTGTCTTCCCATTTCTATATAGCAGGATGGATTGAGATACAGTGAACTTGAAATGAGTCTTATTGGAAGGAGTGTGGGTAATTTGTACTGTAGTTGCTTTGAATAACTAGCACACAATTTTTTATCCATGCTTGTTAGACTTGACCTATGCTTAGGACTTGACTAATACAAATAAGAAGAATTGATGTTGAGGACTTCTCATGCCATTTCTTGCTGAAACTTAAGCCTAGGCACTCCAATATGGGATGTAGGCATTCCAAGCAACATTTTTTAAAGATTTATTTATTTATTGGAAAGTCTGATAAGCAGAGAGGAGAGACAGAGAGGAAGATCTTCCATCCGATCATTCACTCCCCAAGTGACTGCAACAACTGGTGCTGCACCAATCCAAAGCCAGGAGCCAGGAACTTCCTCCAGGTCTCCCACATGGGTGCAGGGTGCCAAGGCTTTGGGCTATCCTCGGCTGCTTTCCAAGGCCAAAGCAGGGAGCCGGATGGGAAGTGGAGCTGCCGGGATTAGAACTGGTGCCCATATGGGATCCCAGTTTGTTGAAGGCGAGGACTTTAACATCTAGTCTACTGCACTGGGCCCGATATTTTTTTCAAGATGATGTTTTGATCAGAGTGGGAAGTATCCAGGGCTAGGGAAAATTGAGTGTAATTGCGTGTGATCATTGTTTCCAAACTGTATTTTTCTCTCCATTTCTGGGGGAATGGGAGAGATAAGGAGTGAAGCCATACCCAGCCTCTCAACTGCTCCAGGAACCAGTGATGGGGAATGGCCACCCGATATGAACCCGAGTCCTGATGTGGCACACGCTCCGAGGGTTCTGCCCAGTTGGGTGTGATAGTGTCGAGATGCTGTTGATCTTGCTGATCTGTGGATGAGGAATCCCTTCTAATGTCCACTGGCTGACGCAGTCGGCCTTAGTCTCCATTCGCCCAGATATTTGCTGTGATCCTTTGGCTGAGGTGATTGTCCAATATGTTCTGTTCTCCGTTCTCTGCTATGGGACCAGATGTCCCCTTGGGCTACCATATCCTCTATGTGCACAAAAACCTGCCAACCACCACTCCATCCTTTACACTGAAGACTAGTTCTCTCAGCTTGGCCAAAAGATCTGGGCCAGGTATTCCAGGCCCCATTGGACCTCCGTCCCTGGGGTTCACGGACCCAGCACCCATTGTACAAGTAGACCCAGTGACCTGGGCCCTTCCAGAGCCCCCCACCCCTTGGGCTCACGAATCCAACACCCACCTCACAAGAGGGCTGATGGTTCCAGGGCAGATGACGAAGGGCCCGCCAAACCCCTCAGTGCTGGAGCTCATGGGCCTGATACCCATTGTGCAGGCCCAAGGACCAGGCCAGGTGACCCTTCATGCCCAGGACTCACAGGCCAAGCATCCAGCTCACAGGCAGGCCCAAGGACCGGGGGCAGGTGACCTGGGCTCCATTGGATCCCCCGACATGACACGCCTGGTTTTCATGGATTTAGCACCCATCTTGAAGGTGGACCAAAAGACCCAGGCCAGGTGACCCAGCCCTTCAAGCAGCATCTTAATTGCTGTGCAAGATTCCAGGACTCCTGCCCTGTGGAATATATATCTTTTTTTTTTTTAAGATTTATTTATTTTTATTACAAAGTCAGATATACAGAGAGGAGGAGAGAGAGAGGAAGAGCTTCCATCCTATGATTCACACCCCAAAAGACCACAACAGCCGGTGCTGTGTCGATCTGAAGCCAAGAGCCAGGAACCTCCTCCAGGTCTCCCACACGGGTGCAGGGTGCTAAGGCTTTGGGCTGTCCTCGAATGCTTTCCCAGGTCACAAGTAGGGAGCTGGATGGGAAGTGGAGCTACCAGGACTAGAACCAGCGCCCATATGGGATCCTGGCGAGTTCAGGGCAAGAGCCTTAGCCACTAGCCCACGCCACCGGGGCTTCCAGGTCCGAAGCCAGGAGCCTCTTCCAGGTCTCCCATGCAAGTGCAGGGTCCCAAAGCTTTGGGCCGTCCTCGACTGCTTTCCCAGGCCACAGGCAGGGAGCTAGATGGGAAGTGGGGCCGCCGGGACTAGAACCAGTGCCCATATGGGATCCTTGGCGTGCAAGGCGAGGACCTTTACCACTGCGCCACCGCACCGGGCCCTAGAAGGTGAATCTTGAGGACAAATGAAAGATGGCTAGCCCAGTAAAACATTATGTTGTTGTTTACTCTGATGTAACAAGGACATTTTGTCATCATGTTAAGTAAACAATGTGGATATAACCACTATCAATTATTGCTGAATGAAAGAACCTTTTTTTTTTTTTTTTTTGGAAAGGCAGATGCACAGAGAGGAGCAGAGACAGAGAAAGATCTTCCGTCCAATAGTTCACTCTCCAAGTGAGCCGCAACGGCCGGTGCTGTGCTGATCCAAAGCCAGGAGCCAGAAACTTAATTCTGGGTCTCCCACATGGGTGCAGGGTCGCAAAGCCTTGGGCTGTCCTGGACTGCTTTCCCAGGCCACAAGCAGGGAGCTGGATGGGAAGTGGAGCTGCCGGGACTAGAACCGGCACCCATATGGGATCCCAGTGTGTTGAAGGCGAGGATCCTAACCGCTATGCTATCACACTGGGCCCATGGCCTTCATGTTTTAAGAAGCATGATTTCAATTTCTTTCTGTTTAGGAACTTTCTGATGTTATTGATCCTTTTATTTATTTATTTTTTAAGATTTATTTTTATTATGTTTTTATTGGAAAGGTGGATATACAGAAAGGAGAGACAGAGAGGAAGATCTTCCGTCCAATGATTCACTCCCCAGGCGGCTGCAACGGCCGATACTATGCCGATCCGAAGCCAGGAGCCTCTTCCGGGTCTCCCACGCGGGTGCAGGGTCCCAAAGCTTTGGGCCGTCCTCGACTGCTTTCCCAGGCAACAGGCAGGGAGCTGGAAGGGACGTGGGGCTGCCAGGATTAGAACCAGTGCCCATATGGGATCCCGGGCGTGCAAGGCGAGGACCTTAACCACTTGCGCCAATGCGCCGGGCCCTTTATTTATTTTTTCATAATTTTATTTGATAATTTTACGTAGATGATTATGGCACAAAGGGTCAAGGACTACAGGAAAGTGTGTGTAAGATCATTGTTTCCACATTTTTTTCTCTCTCTCTTTTCTGTATCTGGAGTAAGGGAGGAGATAAAAAGAGAAGCCCCAGCCAGCCTCCTAACCATCCCAGGGTGCCCGCCGTGGGGCATGCTCTGGGGGCATTACTCAGGTGGTTTTAATAATTGAACAGTTCTGAATTGCTGCCCATCTCTCCATTCCAAAGCACGATGAAATCTCTCCAGAATCCACTAGCTGACAGAGTTCACCTGTGGTACGAAATCATCACCACTTGATAGGATAATTTTCTATGTCTAGAAGATATAGAAGAAATTAATTAAAAAGATGGATGGTTTTAACTTCATTCATATCTTATAGTTCTGCAAAGCCAAAAAGTAGTAACCAAAGTCGATGGGGGCCTGTTTATAACAAGTAGAACAAATGGGACTATACAACTTTTTATTAAAATTTTATTGTGGAAAAAAAAAAACAACCCAACAAGGTGCAAGTTCAAAGTAAAACAAAATACTGTTTTTTTAGTAGTAAAAATTGTTGGGATTGGCAAAATTAGGGCTAATATTGTAACAAAAATGTATATTGGTATTTTCCCTTGCTTAAGCACTTGGCTTCAGAATAAGGGCTGCACTCCTGTCACCTGTCATATCACTGCTCAACGAAGAATGGAAGTAATTGGTATCAGGGTTCTTTAGCTCAGGTATTTTTTTTATTTATTTTTATTGAAAAGACAGGTATATACATAGTGGAGGAAAGACAGAGAGGAAGATCTTCCATCTGATGATTCATTCCCCAAGTGACCGTTGCAACAGCCAGAGATGCACCGATCCAAAGCTGGGAACCAGGAACCGCCTCCAGGTCTCCCATGCAGGTGCAGGGTCCCAAGGCTTTGGGCCGTCCTCAACTGCTTTCCTAGGCCACAAGCAGGGAGCTGGGTGGGAAGTGGAGCTGCCAGGATTAGAACCGGTGCCCATATGGGATTTCAATAACCCAGTCAGGATAATTAGGGAGACCAGGCTTTAATTCTTTAAAGTGTTATTTATTTATGTGTTTGCAAGTGAGAGTAACTGAGAGAAATCGATCTTCCATCCTCTGATTCATTTCCCAAATGGCCGTAAGAGCCAGGCCTGGGAAACCAGGAGCCTCCCCTGGCTCTCCCCTTGGGAGTACTAAAGGGCTCGGGCCATCTGCTGCTGCTCTTGGAGGTACACCAGCAGGGTGCTAGAGCAGAATGGGGCATCGGGGACTAAGCATTGACTGTGAGGGGTGCTGGCATTGCAGTGGCAACTTAGCTCACTGTACCACAACTGTAGCCCTAAGCTTGCTTTTTTTAATTTTTAAAGCTTGCTAGTATTGCTTTTTGGTCTTTTGGCTAAAATCAAGTGTTAAAGCTTGCTAATTATGTTTATTATCAATTTTTTTTTAGGAATTTATTTGGGGATTATTGGATCAGTTAAAACATAAGCAGATTAAATTATTAATCAAAAAATGACTAAAATAAAATCTTTGTTCTTTCAGGACAGATGGGAGTTTTGTGGTTCATGACATACCTTCTGGATCTTACGTGGTGGAAGTTGTATCTCCCGCTTACAAGTTTGATCCTGTCCGAGTGGACATCACTTCCAAAGGCAAAATGAGGTGAGGGCGCCTGATTTAATGTCACTAAAGGCTAGACTGCGGAATGCCTCATTATGTATTCTTTTTAGAATTTACATTTAAAGTTGACGAACTTTCTTGTATAGACTGAAAATGTTCCTTAAAACGCCCGAGGAACATATTACATATACTGGTTTAAAATAATTTTCAAATTGATCACTATGGTGGAAATGAAAGTTATAAAGCAAAAGAAATGCTTATCTACTAAAAGTGGCTTTTAATTATTCTTTTTACTATTTAAAATTTGAATAAAATTGACTTGGCAAATGAAATATTGTTCTAAACGTAAAGGTTTGTTCTTTTGTCTCTTGGGTTAAGTGTACATGGGTTTAGCACTGAAGAACTGCTGGTCAGTGGGATTCCTGTTTTCAGGTACATTTGTAGTGAATGGATGCTTGAAGCATAGGCTTTAGGAAAGACCCTTATTTTGATGAGGGGTGAGAGTAGAGAGCAAGGTGAGAGTCGCATAAGATCCTCATTTTGATCAGTAAGCGTGCATGGTAAATTACTTTTGAGTGTATATGGAGCTTTTTTTTTTTTTTTTTTTTGACATTACAGCAGAAGAAAATGTAGTGCAAATATGACACGTTTCTTTTTCAGCTCCCCCAAAATAAGGGAAATCCCCAGTGGATAAACTAGAGGCCTGCTCCCTCACCTGGGGCTTTGATACTCTGTAACCAGAAGGCTTAGATTAGCAGTGTGCAGGTGAGATGTAAGCCTTGAGTCTATCCAAGACTTCTTGACTTTGAGCTACTGGGAATAGAATCCAAAAGATCAGACTCTCCGTCTGACTCTCCCCCGAGGGCGAAGCATCTCTGGATAGTGGCGGCCTTGCCGTCATTCATGGGGTGTGAATTCATTACTTTCTGCTTAATCAGGGTACTTTGCAGATGAAGAGCTAACAAGATGCTCCCTGGTTATAATGCCAGACTTTCTGGCCAAGACAGAGGCATGACTGTGGGAGGAGATACACCCTTGATGTCTAGTTACGTAGGTAAATAAAATCGCTGATGATGTACTCAAGGAAACAGTCTGCCTTGAATCAGCAAACATGCTAGACTTCTGAGAACTTTGGATGATGGAATTATGGAGACTGTAAAAATAGCTTAAAACACTTAAAGAAATAAAAGACTTACTACCATAAGAAATGTATGCCAAAATAGACAATGAACACTCACAGAAAGGATAAGATATAACTTCTACAATGGATACGGGCATTGACATTTCAAACTCAGTGGATGTTGACCAAGCAAGCAGAAGTTTGATTGCATAGGGCACAGACCAGAACAACTGTCCAGAATGCAGCACAGACTCAAAAACAAACCTTGAGAACAGCGGAGACAGTTTTTAAGAAGTAGGATGGGTTAGGGTTTTTATGAACTGTAGTCCCATCTGTGCAGCAAATGTAATATTGCCCAAAGCTACTGCAGGGCTTTCTATAATCATTATCGTTTCCTGCGGTATAGCTGTAAGAACTGCGTGCATCCAGTACGCACATTTCAGATTGTCTAAAACATAAAATCCAGCGTTTTTGTATGCTTATAGTAAATTCATTACTAAAAATAACTGAGAGACTTTAAAGGCTTCTATTTTTTAAGAGCATTTATTTGAAAGGCAGAATACACAGAGAGAGAGACAGATCTTCACCCACTGGTTCACCCTTCCCAAATGTCCACAATGGCCAAGGCTAGGCCAGGCTGAAACCAGGAGCCAGGAGGTCCCTCTGGGTCTCCCACATGTGAGGGGCCAACTACTTGAGCCATGCTTTGCTGCCTTCCCAGAGTCACTAGCAGGGAGCTGGATCAGAAGTGGAACAGGAACCAGCACCTCTTAGGGACGCTGGTGTTACAGGTGGCAGCTTAACTGGCTGCACCACAGGCCTAGCCCCAGAAAGGTTTCTAAGAGAACTTTAAATACAAGTTTAGGCGCTTGTCTAACCCCACAGACTGAGTAGTGACAGAGCAAGGCTAAGATTCCAAGTCTGGTATTTTCTTCTTTAAAATTTTATTGAATATTTTAGGCAAGCAGGTAATTTACTTTGATCATATTTTTATGATTATAAAAATAATCAGGAGTTCAGGTCACAAAGCATTTTGGAAAAGACAAAAGCCAAAAATAAGGCTGTTAGTGAAATTACTGATTGTTTTCTTATGTTGCTTTATCAGGGCAAGATATGTGAATTATATCAAAACATCAGAAGTGGTAAGACTGCCCTATCCTCTCCAAATGAAATCTTCAGGTCCGCCTTCGTACTTTATTAAAAGGGAGTCCTGGGGCTGGACGGACTTTCTGATGAACCCAATGGTATGTGTTAGCAAAGTAAAGCACTTTACCAGTCCATGATCTACCTCGGTGCAGTTGATCATTTCAAATTCTTATGAGATAGAAATGTGATGGTTAGATTTTTGGATGAAAGGATGATTTGCAGATTTCAAAGAAATCATGGCTTTGGTAAGATACAGAAAAAAATAGAATTGTCCTGTAGATTTGACATTGAAATGTACAACAGAAACTGAATAAACATTTATGATGATGATTTTGGTGAGTCATACTTGGAGCTGTCGCATCTTTTGTACTACTGGTACTGTCATTTGTTGTCCATCACCTGTTGATGATCTGTTTTGACATCTGTGATAAACAGAGAAGTTCATCTGTGGTAATTTAAGTAGTTGGTACCATGAAAGTGGTCGTAATACAAGGTACTCATGTGCATTCTTTATATAAATGATCTCTTTCTTTTTTTTTCTCTCTTTGAAGGTTGTTTTTGGAATTGTCTGAATTTTGATCATGTTCTCTTCTTTAAATCACAAACAGGAATGTTTGGAGGTTGTTTAGTACTTTATCAGAGGTCTAGGGAGGAGAGGATAGATTGTGTAGGAGACATTACCAGTGTGGCTGCATGTCTTACCTTGTGTGTTCATGTGTTCAGTGCAGAGGCTTGTAAGTCATTTTTCAAAACTTACCTGCTATAGCAGCTGCTTCCTGCTGTAATGAAGGCTCCAGAGAACGTATGTTAATGGGAGGCGGGGTGATAGGGTGTTTTATCCAAGAACCAGAGTCGTAATGGAAAGAGTATCCTACCTGGTTGTCAGGATCGCTAGTCCCAATGCCAGAATGTAGTTCCGAGAAAGTGCCTGGAGAGTTCCATCGTGGACTGTTGTGTCCAAACAGAGTACTCGGGCGCACTGTGCAGTCCGCGGCAGACAGCACCTTGTTATCGGAGTTCACACAGTAGGGTTGAGGTGGTTCATGCTCACTTTGTTCTGCCTACCGTATTTGAATCTCTGATTTTGTTGTTTATTGTCAACCGCAGTTTCTGCTGTAAAGGTGATGCAGAATGTTTTCCGAATTTTTGTCTTCCACAGGTTATGATGATGATTCTTCCGTTATTGATATTTGTGCTTCTGCCCAAAGTGGTCAACACAAGCGATCCTGACATGAGACGGGTAAGGGGCCACTGTCTGCCTGTGGGTTTGTGAGCCATGTGCTGCGTCTGCTTCCTGGGCTGTCCTTTGGCTGAATGCTTGAGTTTTTCATATTTTACTCTAATTCCCATGCCAAACTAAAGATTGTGCTCCTGGTATTTAATTAGTCATTTCTGTGGGACTGCATACATTCATTTGCTTCTCCTTAGCTAAATGGATCTCTTAATATACATAAAACATTTTGTTAAGTCCTAGCTTCCTGTCCTGCCTCACCTGTTAAATATGTGAAATGTACCTTAATTGTGCTTTATCTAATCCAAACATAATGCAAAATGACTGTTTCTTTAACCTAAGTTTACAAAACTCTCTTCAAAATGCATACTCAATTAAAAAAAATTAAGATTCATTTCTGTTTATTGGAAAGGCAGACATGCAGAGCGGAGGAGATACAGAAAGAAAGTTCTTACATCTGCTGGTTCATTCTCCCCAAGCGGCTGCAACGGCCACAGCTGAGCCTATCCGAAGCCAGGAGCCAGGAACTTCTTCTGGATCTCCCACACGGGTGTAGGGTCCCAAGGATTTGAACCATCCTCGACTGTTTTCCCAGGCCACAAGCAGGGAGCTGGATGGAAAGTGGAGCAGCTGGGTTACAAACTGGTGCTCATATGGGATCATGGGGCTTGCAAGGAGAGGACTTCAACGACTAGGCTACCTTGCTGGGCCCTGCATACTCAGTTTTTATGTCAGATACCCAAAGGCAATTCAGCTAGACCAAGGGGGATGAATAGAATAGTTGCTTTCAAATTCTGAACTACATAATTAGTTTGTTCTGTAAGAAAAGAGGAAATTTTGAACTAGGTGATTCAAATGCAGTGACACCAGTGCAGGCACTTGGCTTTGTGGTTGATTAGCCTGATGGTTGAGGCACCAGTGTTCCACTTTGGAGTGCTTGGTTTTGATTCTGGACTCTGCTCCTCACTCCAGCCTTTTCCTGCACCGTCGGAGGCAGCAGTCAGGGCTCGAGGGATTGAGTTGTGCTGCCTGTGTGTGAAACCTGGGTTGAATTCTCGGTTCCTGACTTCGTAGCTCGGGACCTCCGTGGGTACTGGGGAGTGAACCAGAACAGAGGAGTGCTCAGTCTCTCTGTCTCTCCTCTCTGTGTGCCTCTGTGTGTCCTCTCTTGTTCTCTATTGTCTCTCTACCTCTCAAATAAATAAATAAATACTTTGAAAAATAAACCATAGGTCATTGCTGTTATCAGGACACTGTTCTACTCTTCTTCATTAAGAATTGTTAGGTGTGGGCCTGGCGGCGTGGCCTAGTGGCTAAAGTCCTCGCCTTGAACACACTGGGATCCCATATGGGCACCGGTTCTGATCCCAGTAGCTCCACTTCCCATCTAGCTCCCTGCTCGTGGCCTGGGAGAGCAGTCGAGGACGGTCCAAAGCCTTGGCACCCTGCACCCGCGTGGGATACCCGGAAGAAGTTCCTGGATCCTGGCTTCGGATCGGCATAGCATCAGCTGTTGTGCTCACTTGGGGAGTGTATCATCGGACAGAAGATCTTCCTCTCTGTCTCTCCTCTTCTCTGTATATCTGACTTTCCAATAAATAAATAAATCTTAAAAAAAAAAAAAAAGAATTGTTAGGGGTTTCATCATTCAGGGAATTCCAGTACCTTTTCATGGTTTTTTGCTGTCTCCCTGCAGGAAATGGAACAGTCAATGAATATGCTGAACTCCAACCACGAGTTACCTGATGTCTCTGAGTTTATGACAAGACTCTTCTCTTCAAAGTCATCTGGCAAATCTAGCAGTGGCAGCAGTAAAACAGGGAAAAGTGGGGTTGGCAAAAGGAGGTAGTCGGGTGGCTCTGCAATGGCCTTTGCACAAACACAGTAACACTGGGTGACATCTGAGTCTGGAGGGAAAACTGTGAAACAGCTGCTGTATGCTTGAATCATCCCGAAGGTTGATCTCTTACAACTGTTGTGTATGCTAACTTTTTAGCACATGTTTTGTACTCGGTACATAAGATCCAGCTTTCATCCTTTGTATGAGGTCAATATTGATGTCACTGAATTAAATGCAGTGTCCTATAGAAAATGACATTAATAAATTATATGAAAATACTATATGTTATATTAAAATGTCTTAATCCAGAGATCAAATTGTTTTCTGCCTTTTTTTCCACTTAATGTGCCTTTTTTTTTTCTGACAGTTTTCTGCCTTCATTATTTGAGACTTAACATTGATCTTTTCTATTTAAAAAGAAAGAAGTAGTTATTTTTACAGCAGTGTACACCATATTTCTCTGTGTGACCGTACTTTGGAAAGTGTCAGCCCTGCACTGCTATTTGCCATTCCTTCCTGTTTGAGGTGGAGTCATATGATCCTGGTATAGTTTTAGTTTTTGGTGTAAGAATATAGATGTATGGATAAGTCCTGTAAATGTTATTCTGATTGTTATCTATGGCATTCATTTTATTTGTACTGAGTACCAACTAACCATTGTGATTTCAGGTAGAATACAGACATGGGTGATGTTGAAGCCCCTGTCTACAGCAGAGCTCCTTTTGGGTGGGATGACAAATGATAACAGAGAGCAGATGGCCAGGGGAAAGATGCAGCAGGCGGAGCACCTGCTGGTGTCTGAAGATGAAGTGGGCCTCAGAACCCTGTGTGGTAATATTGGTGATCTTTCTCAGAATCGATTCTTGGAGTTGTTGCAATGTAAGTTGCCACTTTCCAGCTAGAAGTATGTCACAAAATTCTTACTTCAGCGAAGTTTTCATTTAACTCTCTATGTTGTAGTGTTACCTTGTTCTCTCCTGTCAAAGAACTTACCTGTTTCTTTAAAATGTTACTACATCAGCCAAAATAACAACAGCAGGATTGGTTCCAAACTGTTACGTACCATTGTTGTTGTTTTATTTTGAAGATTTATTTTACTTGAAAGATGCAGAGAGAGTTTTCTATGCACTGGTTCACTCCCCATTTGACTGCAACAGGCAGAGGTGGACAGGTCCAAAGCTGGGATCCAGGAGGTCATTCTGGGCCTCCCACATGGATGCAGCAGCCCAAGCCTTTGGGCCAGTCTCTGCTTTCTCAGGCTGTCAGCAGGAAGTTGGATTGGAAATGGAGCAGCTGGGACAGGAACCAGCACCCTTATGGGAAGACTATAGCACAGCATAGAATTAGCCACAATACTGACCCCATCACTGTTCATTTTGAAATGAGATAATACAATTTCCATTTAGGGCCCAGCACAATAGCCTAGCGGCTAAAGTCCTCACCTAGCACGCACAAGGATCCCATATGGGCACTGGTTCTAACCCCAGTTGCCCCACTTTCCATCTTTCCATCCAGCTCTCTGCTTGTGGCCTCGGAAAGCAGTTGAAGATGGCCTAAAGCCTTGGGACCTTGTACCTGCATGGAAGACCTGGAAGAGGCTCCGGGCTCCTGGCTTCGGATGTGCTCAGCTCTGGCCGTTGCAGCCGCTTGGGGAGTGAATCAATGGAGAGAAGATCCTCCTTTCTATCTTTCCTCCTCTCTGTGTATCATTTTTTTTTAAATGATTTATTTTTATTGGAAAGTCAGATATACAGAGAGATGTGGTAGCCTAGTGGCTAAACCTTTACCTTGCTTGTACCAGGATCCCATATGGGTGCCTGTTTGTGTCCCAGCAGCTCCACTTTCCATCCAGCTCCCTGCTTGTGGCCTGGGAAAGCAGTTGAGGACAGCTCAAAGCCTTGGAATCCTGCACCCATGTGGGAGATCTGGAACAGGCTCCTGGCTCCTGGCTTTGGATCAGTTCAGCTCTGGCTGTTGCAGCTACTTGGGGAATGAATCAGCAGATGAAAGATCTCTCTTTCTGTCTCTCCTTCTCTGCTTATCTGACTTTCTGATAAATAAATAAATAAATCTTTTTTTTGAAAGTCCTAATTTGAATAGGTAAAGTTTGCACATGGAATAATGACCAAGAAATTAAAACACATTTGGGCCCAGTGTGGTAGCCTAGCAGCTAAAGTCCTCACCTTGCACTTGCTGCCGGAATCCCATATGGGTGCTAGTTCTAATCCTGGCAACTCCACTTCCCATCCAGCTCCCTGCTTGTGGCCTGGGAAAGCAGCCAAAGACAGCCCGGAGCCTTGGGACCCTGCAACTGCATGTGAGAGCCAGAAGAGGCTCCAGGTTCCTGGCTTCAGATTGATGCAGCTCTGGCCATTGCAGCTGCTTGGGGAGAGAGTCATCAGGTGGAAGGTCTTCCTCTCTGTATATCTAACTTTCCAATAATAATAAAGTAAATCTTTAAAAAAAAAAAGAAATTAAAATATATCTGCAGGAATTACCATTTCACTTGGAATTTCACTTGCTAATCTTTATTTGACATCAATTCTAATAGCATATGAATATCACTTATACTCCTTATATTATAGAAATATATTACTTGTGTATGACAATCTTATAACCTCATCAAACGCCTAGGGTGCTTGCAGGTACAGTAATTGTTACAGATTATTTGTCAACACAGGTTGTGGCACGAAGAGCTCGCTGGCTGCTCGCTGGCTGTGTGACTTTGGGCAAGTCACTTTCCTGCCCTGGGCCATTCTTGCCATGTCCTTTGTCGTATTTCCAACATTATAAGCACCACAATGAATGTTGAATGAATAAATAAATGGGCCTCAAGTTTCCTCATCCATAAATTGAAAGATTTGGATTTTTTCCACTTTTTTTTTCTTATCTCAAATTCTATTATAATATTTACCCAGTCTTATTAGTTACTTCTTTCTGTTAATCTTGTGATCATTGCTGACTTCCTGTCTCTTTTACTACCTAGGGTTCTTTCTGCTGTTTCCTATTTAGGACAAAGTGTTTGGCTCTTCTTTAGGGTGTCATTTTAGATTCATTTTATGTATATCTCCTTTTAATCTGATAGTTTCTTTGGTAGCTTTTCACACATGTGAAATTAAATCTGAGTGGTGTCTTTGTGATTAACAAACCCTAACTTCCTGTTCGGGCTCCCTGCGTGACTTCTCCGGGTCAGATGGGTTGCTCTCAAGTTGCAGATAGTCTCTTAGGAATTAAAATGTCTGGATTTGTTTTGAGGAAAATCGGAATGTTACATAACTTGGCTTGAGCAGGGAAATACCTTAACCATTTCTTTCTTTGCGTCTTCCATGACAGAAAAGAAGAATCAACCTGGCGACAGTGTATCACTGGTGCCCATGAGAATGGTCAGCGAAGACAGCTCCTCAGACTTTCAGGAAGTTGGGGTTTGTATTTTTTCTAGAAGTTTTTTTTTTTCTGTTTAAAAAAAATCTATTGAAAATATGCAGTATTTTACAGAAAGATCTGAAAACGATTGTCCTCTTTGTTTATTGCCTTTCGGGTCTCATGGAGACACTTTTGCATAGTTATACAGGTGTGTGTCCCGTTTGTGTTAAACCCAACTAAAGTTGCCCTAAGCACTAAGTTCAGGGATCACATCAGGAACTGGTAGCTGAGTCACTTACTACAATGGAAGGGATGTGTTGAGACAGGCTGTGGTTGTAGAGTGGCCCTCACTGTGTGATTTTTTTTCTCTTTGGTAAATACATCCGTGTTTGTTTTTTTTTTGTTTTTTTTTTTTTTTACTATTAATTCACTTGGGACATAGATGAAAAAACAGACTGCTGCTGTCTGCTCCCACGAATCCCCATGACGTTCCGGAGCAGGCCGGGGCTGGAGCTGGGAGCCGGAAGCAGTCCAGGTTACTGTCGTGGGTGGAGGCAGCGCAACAGCATGAGGCTCTTGACTACTGCTGGTGTCCTCATGAGCAGGAAACGCAAACCAGGAACTGAGGCTGAGACTGAAACGCAGGCACTCGCAGGGGCGTAGGCATCCTCGCACCTGTGCCAGTGCCAACCCCTCATCTCCATCTTACGTGTGATCATTCTTGGGAAAATAGTCATTTATTTCTTAATTTTTAAGGTATGTGGATAGTCAGGTGGTAAAATGTTTTTATTCAGGAAAACTTCAATATAGCTGTTGTGAAGTTTAGATGTTACCTACAAATTATCAATATATTTTTTTTTAATATTCTTGAGAGAAAGATTGAAGTATTTGCAGAGCTGTTTGAGAAAAACAGGCCTCCCAAAATACCAGCAACGATGAGCTCATCTTTGTTCTCAGTAACATAATCCTACTCTGGGTGCACAAGGCAGCTGAAACTTGACACAATGACTTTTCTGTCTGGCAGCACTGAGCTAGCCAGGCAAGCAAACCTGAGACGAGGCAGGAGTAAAGACACTCAAGCCGTAAACAGGGCTAATGACTGAGGCCGCAAAAACTAGAAAATTTTGCCAAAGTGTTCATCTCACTAAAATTTACTAAGTCATTATTAGAGATTCATGCCTGTAAGTCTTTAGGTAATTCTGAAATTTAATCTTCCCATCTACATGAATAGTTCCAGTCCCTTTCTAAAATTTTTAGAAGATTTTACTTATTTATTTGAAAGGCAGAATTTCAGAGGAGAGAGAGAAGTTGTCCATTGGCTGGTTCACTTTCCAAAAGACCATAACAGCTGAACCTGTGCCAGGCGGAAGCCAGGAGACAAATTTTTCTGGATCTCCCACGTGAGTACAGGAGCTTGAGGACTTGGGTCATCCTCTGGTGTTTCCCCAGACACACTAACAGGGAACTGGATTGAAGTGGAGTATGTGGCACTCAAACTGGCACCCCATATGGGATGCTGATGCCACACAGTGGCTTGACTTACTGTGCCACAGTGATAACTCCCCTCTCTCTGATTTTGTTTTTAAATATTGACAAAGATTGGACATTGCAAGTTTACCTTGCGGGATTCTTAGGAGGAGATGTGACCAAAAAGAAATGGGGGGACAGTGCTCTCTTAGGCAACTGACAAAATTGATTTCCAGGGTTCCAGTTTATATACATAGTTTAGCTCAGACATTGGTTACAAATGATCAGGTTTGATGTGCAACTCGTGTCACGTGTGTATGCAGGGAGTTCCAGGAGAGCTAGCGAGGCACCGGGATCGAAGCACCACTGGTGAGACAGTGAGCAGGAGCACTGTCTGCTCCTCAGCACGAGCCTGCCGTGTCCCTTGTGCGTGAGAAGCCTTTTGCCACTGTTCCGCAAATTGATGGGTCTGGATCGATG